ATATCTTTAGTAACTTGAAGTATTTAGAAACGTTATTACACATTCATGGGTCAACTGAAAAATTAACTCATTTACTTTTTATGCTTGAAGAGAATTTTTTCACATGTTGAAATATTGTTTGTATTGTTGTGTTAACGGATTCAAGCGATTTATTTTGATTTTCTGATATATTTGTTGGATATTTTGGCTTGGGAGAGAGTTCGGCCATTGAATATTATCCAAATATTAATACACGATCCGGTTTTTTCCCAATCTTACCTTTCCTATCACAATCACTGTGTGTGTGTGACTTCGTTTTCCATAACGACAATTAGTTAATGTTCTCAGATTATATATGTAGAGAAGACAAATTAAATAAAATAGACAAGTGGATAATAGTACTTAATCTTTGCAAGGGATAAGTACTCTTTTGGAAAACTAACATACACACACTTAGTCAAAATTAAAGAAGGAAAATTGTACTAATATTCAAAAACAGCCTTACACAGGAGCGTCTTTTAAAAGTTTTGAATTTCTTCAACGATAAAGAAGAGACTCGAGGGAGCGGGGATATGGTTTTACAGATGGATGCTATGAATATCATAGACCAAGCGTGTGAGCAACGACGAGATTTTGGGGAGGTTGCAAACAAGGAGAAAGGTTATACTTAACATAAGGAAGAGGCAGATGAAATGTCTGGGACACGTAATGAGAAAGGAGGGCCTGGAGAATCTGATACTCTCAGGTCTAATAGAAGGGAAAAGAGACAAGGGAAAGCAATGCATGTCACACCTGGTGGGCATAATCAAGTGAATGGCAGAACGTGGTCTTTGGGTGTTGGCAGAGGCACGAAAATATTGAGAGGTACAAGGGATAGGAGGAAGTGGAGAGCCATGATCGTCTACGTCCTGAAAGGACACGGCACATTAAAAAAGAAAGAAAATTATTTCATGTAACGAGACAACACTTATATATATATATATATGTATGTATGTATGTATTACGTAAAACACTTTTATTTATTATCCTCACTTCACGATGAAAAAAAAATAATCTATTTTTCTCTTAGTTTAGATGTCTTGGTTTTAAAAAAGTTTTCAGAAAATCAAGACAAATTTCGAAATGTCTCTGCAAAAAAAATCTTTCAGTCGCGTTGTTTTCTTTATTCTTGATTAGTTTATTTGTCGAACTGATTTAATTGAAAGTTGCTCGAAGCTGAATCTGCCTCTATTTCTATCACCACCAAATAGTCAAAAAATAGCATAAAAATCATAATATAGAGAATGTCGCTCATGAAAACAAAAAAAAAAAAAAAAAAAGATAACGTCTGATTTAGAAATCGTCTTCTCTTTCAACTAATTAATGATTGTCACCGGGGGAAAAACACGTGGAATCTATATAACGATAATCGTAATTATATATGGATCATTATATTCGATCTATGTAGAGATTAGACGCATAGCTCAAAGATGACAGACCAATGGGTAAATATCAGTTCGACCCTCACGGAAGCTCTTTTACTGTGACCTTGTATAAAACAAATATAAAATTACTAAATACTAGTATTGCCATATATATATATATATATATATATATATATATATATTATTCACACAAAACTAATGCAAAATGCAAAGGTTAATGATTTTTAAATGGCGAGACATCCATCTCGCAAACAATTTAAATCCGTTATGAATGAATTGATCCTTGATCAATTCATTCATAACGGATCTGAGGTTTTTGTGTAATATTTGAATTGTTTGCGAGATGGATGTCTCGCCATTTAAAATCATTAACCTTTGCATTAGTTTTGTGTGAATAATTCATGTATTTGTAAATTGATTGCACGTTTATTGTAATATATATATATACATATATATATATATATATATATATATATATATATATATATATATATATAAAAACAAACAGAGAAAGACTAAAGAATCAGAATTAACTTAGAAAACAATTTTTTTTAAAGCACTATATATATATACTAGCAGTAGAGCCCGGCGTTGCCCGGGGATGTAACAGTAAGAGATAGATCAAGTATCGACCATCATAAAGACTGAAAATAAAATTGACAAAGATTATTGTTTAAGGTTGACGGACACGCATGTCTTAATTAGTTTTTTTTTTTTTTTTTTTTTACGAATTGGTCAAACCCAAATTCAAACAAAAACATTGTTTACAATCGTTATGAGTCTATCGATTGGTGAATAGAATTTTATTATAAACAATTGTCTTGTAAATGGAATTTTTAAAGCATTCTGAATGTAAATAAAGAAAAAAGTGTGCAAGACAATAAGAAATACTACATGCCCAAAACAGTGGATGTTTGTTTTATCGGCTGAAAAATGTAAGAAATCCGATCCCATATATAAAGGAACACACACACACACACACACACACACACACACACACACACACACACACACACACACACACACACACACACACACACACACACACACACACACACACAGACATACATAAACAGCCTGGGTTTTTTAACCTAAGTCACTCCACGGAATCGCTAAAACATAGAGCATAGTCTGATGAAAAAGACGCCAAAGTTTATGAAAACAAAATTTTATCGTCAAAATGCTTATTTTTTATGAAGAGGATAGACTAATTTTTTTTTTAATTATTTAAAATAAATTGTTCTATCTTTTTAGAATATTCATAATTTTGATTTAAAAAACCTTGTTTCTCTTTGTCGCAACAAGGAGTAGTAAATAACATAGATAATTTTTAACGCGTTTTTTGTATTTACACACATTAATTTGGAAAATCTTGCAAAAATAAAAATAATTGTCAGATGTTAATGAAACTTTCAGAAACTATTCACAGATGATCGTAATTATTATAATTTTTTTTTATTAAAGTCATGGCAGAAATATTTTTTTTTATATTTATTAACACCCCCATAACTAAATTTATGAAAAACTCTAGAAATTCGAGACCATCGGTTTTAGTGATTACAATAGTTAAAAGCACAAGGCTTTGAAGAATGCAAATCATGTTTTTTTTTGTTTTTTTTGTTTTTTTGGCCAACGTACCTGAAAATCAGCTGTGAATTGTAACATACAAAACTCAATAAAACAAATATATTATTTAGTTTCAAATGCTTTTATTTGCTTTTAGTTGTTTTTATGAATATGGACAATATTTTCTGAAAGCAAAATTTTTTTCAATGAAAATTGAATTTTTAATACAATTATTTCTTATTTCTTTAATTTTAAAAATATTTTTAAAAAATGTTTAAATTGAATTTTAAAAAATATTTTAACATTAGTTACAAGCAACATCAACCTTTCAAAAAATCCGTGTGAGATTGTCATTGTCTAGCGCTTTGAAAATTGTATAATTTGGACCAATCAGATTAGCCATGGTAATTAAGAAATGTACTTTTTGTGTTTATAGTCGGACAGTAATTATCAAGTACGGAAGACCAACTAGAATACAATTTAGTTGCATTATTTGAGTTCAGCATTGTTCTCCGCTGTTAAGCCCTTTACTTTTGCGAAACACGTATGGAGAAGTTAATTTGAGTTTTCAATTTCAACTGAGAAGGGTAGCTACAAGTAACAGTATCATCTTATGAAATTTAACTACTGCTAAACTTTAATTTATATGATCTTATTTTTATATTAATCTCAGTTATGACATTTTTCCATAAATGAAATATCAAAATTAATAATAAAATGAATGGAAATAGAAATAACACGGTAAAATGTAATAAATGTACATAAAATTATAGTATTTTATGTACACTTCTGATAAAATTTCATAAGAAAGGTACCTAAATTAATTAGATACCTTTTTCTTATGAAATTTAATCTCACTGTTAACAGTCTTATTTTTTAATTTCTTTATATTTTCCATAAAGCATCGTAAAAGTAAAAATGAAAGCTAAGTACAAAAAAAAAATAAATAAATAAATAAAAAATAAAAAATTAGAGCGCTGAAAGTTTTCCTTAAAAGTAACAAGGTAAATAATTTGTTCACATAAATAATTTCACTTCCTTCCATCCGTAGAAAAAATTCTCCTCCAGTAAGTTATCTAAACGTCATGAATGTGCCTTTCGTCAATCGTCAAGCGACGCGAAAGGTTATGACCTGCTTTGTTTTATTTTCAAATTACATTTTTCGGCGCAGAAGCTAAGTTAAGCTTGGTTCAAAATATTTAAAATAAACAGTATAATATCTATTTTTATTAAAATCAGTTTTGAAAAATGATAATTGACTTTTAAAAAAGAATATCAAAGTAAGATTTTAATCTTTTTTATCAAATCGAAAAAAATGATTGAAAATGATTATCTGACCTTTTTTTTGACAAAAAAAAAACAATATTTTTAACGAAAATTTCAGACGTGCTAGGAACGATTAAAAAATGTAAAAAAATACCCCCAAAATACTTTGATCTTTCCTCTTTAATAATAATATGAACATTAGACGATAAAACTTTTCGTCAAGTTCGGCGTCTTTTTCATCATGCTGTGCTCTTTTGTTTACATTTTCGTAGGTGAGTTCTCCCCCTTTCATTCTCACAATGTGTCTTAATTGTGTTTTCAAATTGATTTTATTAAAAAAATAACTGTATTTTCCCCATTTTCGGCCCCGTTAGAACCACCACAAGGTAATTTTATGTAGTCCTGTGAAGTTTTGTTGAAATCGCCTAAAAAATGTAGGAAATTCGATCCAACATATAAACGTTACAGACACACACAACTGCGTTTTTATAATAAGTAAGATATATATATATATATATATATATATATATATATATATATATATATATATATATATACGCATACAGACAGACACACACACATACATACATACATATATATATATATATATATATATATATATATATATATATATATATACATTCTAGGGAGAGACACGCGCCCTCTGATGTCAATTTTAGAGGCAAACATAAACAGTTTAAAATTCGAACCATTTGATTTATATAGATTTGTATTGATCCATTAATCAAACTTCTGAAGTTTCAGACGAATCAATATTCGATATTTGCAAACGTTTCAAAGTCGATTCAAATTCGATACATCATTTATTCTCTTATTGTCTTATTCTCATTCTCTCTTAATCTATCTCTCTCTCTATCTATCTATCTATCTATCTTTCTATCTATCTATCTATCTATCTATCTATCTATATATATATATATATATATATATACATAGTGCTTTGAAAAATGTTGTTTTCTAAGTTAATTCTGACTTTGTAGTCTTTTCTCTATTTGTCTTCAATATATATATATATATATATATATATATATATATATATATATTTATATATATATATATCATTAAAGACAATAGATATGATACTGCGATTAAGCTTTTTAATTAATTTTCTCATAATCGAAAATGTTTTCTTTTCTGGACAGTATGTTGTAGAAACTATCTAAATGTTCTGTAATTCAGCGCGATTTCGGCTATGCTTTTACCCATTATCGAGGATGATTTTTTTTTTAATGTTTTGTGTTGGTTAATGTTATTGAGTGTTGGCTGAGTGTTGAAAAATTGGGAACTTTCAACACACAGTCCCAGAAAAAGGAAACACTTGATCGAACACAAGAAAAAATAAATAAAAATATCCTAATCCCAGTACATTTTCATTCATCATATTCATATATATATATATATATATATATATATATATATATATATATATATATATATATGTGTGTGCCTGTATATTTTTGTGTTATGATCAAATACAGATCATATCCGGCAGAATGATGACAAAGAAGAAATTGGAAATGTTTATCAATCCAACATGTTTCACCTTTATTAAAGCTTCATCAGAGAATGAGATATAGAGAAAAAGAAGAAATTCATTCTGTTAATTTTACTTTTGTGTTATTTGATTTTCATTGGCCAGTCATGTATCACGTAAATTTGACTAGCATTATACAAAAATACTGACGTTTTTTTAAAAAATGTTAGTTGATCAAATTACATAGTTTTTATTGTGTAGACAGACTGACTCTCGCTGTACTAAATTGTTGAACATAGACTATTATAACGTAGAATGATAAAATATACTTTTAATTTATACTATATTCATGGGTTATATATATATATATATATATATATATATATATATATATATATATATATATATATATATATATATATAAACAAACACAATATGCGATATCCTATATGGAAAATTCTGATTGATACCACGATCATTCTTCATAAGTCCTGTAACTGAAAACATCTCGATATGAGAGAAACACTCTATGCAAAATATCTGACAACTAATATTAAACTTACTTTAATTAATAACGGAAATAGTGTGCCATAGATTTTTTAACCAGAGGGCAGAAGTAATTTTTTACTTTCATTCTTCAGAAGTACATTTGTACATCCATACTTCAGAAATTCTGCATCTATATAAATATATAAAAACAAATCAGATTGTAATACGCTTTAAAATATATAATTAGTAAATATAGTTTTATGTAATAACAGTATTTCCTTTAAAAAATTCAAAACTTTCATAAAATATTCAGTTTTAAATTGTACATAATTGTAAAAAATGAAAGCAAATCTTGTAAAATTTCAATTTTCATTGACAATTTTTTCTTTAGATAATATTGTCTTTAATATATATTACTCATAAAAGCAGTTAAAATATTCTATCATTAAATAATGTCTTACTTTTATTGAGTTTTTGATTTTTGGATTCAGAACAAATTTTCGGTAAGACCAGGTCTGATTTTAAATCAAAGCATGAAGAATCGGTGATTGAAATTCTTCAAAAAATTCAGTTTTTAACTAATATAGTCACTAAAAATTATCTCGATGAATTTCTCAAGCTTTTATAAAATTAAGAAATAGCAAGAAACACATGTAAAATAAAAATAAAATATTTTTCCAGATTATTTAATAAAAATGTTACAAAAATAATTTCATTCATTTGTGAATCAGTCCTGAAAATTTCATTAAAATTCGACAATTATTTAACTTTTGCAAGAATTTCCAAATTCATCGCAAAAAGTAGGCGAAAATTTGCTATGCAAAAAGTACAACCGCTGACGCCAGATAAACAAAATTTTAATAAAAATTTCGAATGTTCTAAAATGGAGTAAAAAAAGGTAATAAAATTAAAAAAAAAAAATACCTTGATCCTTCCTATTAATAATAACATAACGATTTTGACGAGAAATATGTTTTCATTACATTTGGAGCGTGTTTTCATGACGATATACTGCATTTTTAACGATCTCGTGGATGTACCTAGTATAAGAAAGCTGAAATATAAATATGCACGCACGCAATCACAGAGGTGGAAAGAGAGAGAGAGAGAGAGAGAGAGAGAGAGAGAGGTGGAAAGAGAGAGAGAGGGAGTGGAAAGAGAGGGAGTGGAAAGAGAGAGAGGTGAAAAACTCAAATCATTATTATGCAAAAGTAGGGACGCAGTATGTAAAAATGAAATATATGAAAACCAGTTGAATATTGAAGAGTTTTCCACTTGTTAAGTGTTTCCGGTTTGCTACTTTACGCGGTCATTTCAAAACACAGATGAAAAACTGAAAAAAGGCTACTGGGAAAAGAAAAGGTAAAAAGTTTAAAAGGAAGCGTATCCCAATCCTAAGCATAGAAGGAGGGATAAACCAGTTCAAAAGCCCAGAGAGGAATATGAATCGAACAATAGACGAACCATATCTACTCCTATAGAGGATAGAAAAATAATTATCAAATAAAATTCACGACGTTAGACATACAGAGTTAATGTAACCTCTACAAATAACCAGAAACTCGATCCTAAACATGAAACAAGGGATAAACCTTTACTCTTGTTCAAAATATCTGGGTGGAGTGTGAGCAGGGCGATAGGAGAGCCTATAAGCAGGTATGCTGATAAATCTCGTTTTTCAACCAATTCATACTTAGTATTAATAAAACTTTATCGTTGTAAATATGAATATGATAGATATATGCGATATTTTATTCACTTTCGGAGTTCGTCAGTATCGGTGTAAAGATGTGTGTTTTGGAGGCTTTCTTCAACATAGATCTTCTAACACTTATATATATATATATATATATATATATATATATATATATATATATATATATATATATATCCTCGTTGGGGCGCATATACTCCCTTATTTTTTTACACATATGTTCACCCTGTACAAAGCTCAAGAGCCACTCACAGACGATTATAGAATAAGAAGCACAGTTTATGTGGATATGTGAGCAAGGTAACGGTGAACCCTAAACATAAATAGGTTAAGGCTATATTTAAGCATCCTATTGGGAGTCATTTCCACATAGTAGTCGCTCGGGAGAACAAAATACTGGAGTGGATCTCAACAATCGAATACGAAATTAACGAGGTTGGTTCGCTACAATGTGCGTGACCTAGTGGAAATAATGAATGTAATTTGTCTAAACATCTTGTATAGAAATTTCGACATATAAACAAGATACTCTTCCACGCAGCAACCGTTCTTAGAAAGAAACTATCCGATTATTATTCATGGAATATGAAGGGAATGGAGATGATTAATCCATATGTGCTGGCCTGTCGGACTCCAACTGTAATGGTCAGGGATGGTGGGTGTCTGTTCCACAGAGTAGCAGTTCTTGGGAAGAGGCTGTCCGGATAGGATTCAAAGGAAATTGTGATAATTAATCCGTGTATACCTCGCATGGCGTGTCCCAGCTGCAAAGGCCAGGCTGATAGAACCAGTGAATGTAGCTCATCAGAACATTTGCTAGATAGAGATAGTTAACTCCGTGGGCAGTATTAAGACGGGTGTTAGAAGGTTAGAACTGCTGAACCTAAGGAATATAATTTTTTTGAGTACTTTCCGTGAAAATAGCGATAGAGGAACCTGACGATTAGATATTTCGTCTGTAGGAAATAGGCTGTAGGCGGAAAATAGTTAATCACTCACAAGTACACGGTGATACGCTTGGACTATTGACTACAAAGTGAAAACTGGGCATCTCCTGCCCACATAGGGAAACAGTACTACATTTTCGGTCTAATCTGGCTTTTGTAAAAGCAAAAAATTGCAGAAGCCATCGGCCAATTACTGAAGCGTTACTGGAAACAGACCATTTTTCCAGGATTTTTAGCGATGTATCATATATACGCGTTCAGCTTGATATCTAGGTTGATATTAAGTCCCAATAGTTGTTCATCCCTGAGAGGATATTCAGCCTCGCTTGATCCTGTGAGTACATTTCGTAAGCACAGCTATGTCGAACACATTTTTACATTTCTGATATCCTTTGAGGCAATGTGGATACCTCCAAGTCAACCCTTGGAGGATTAGACTGGAGTCATCAACTATATTAATTTTAAATAAATTTTATTATTGAGTATTTGTTTCCTTACAAATTGAAAGAAATAAATTACAATTGTCCTCGCGAAACAAAGTCTTAAAATATTTTCGTTTTTTTCTTTCCAACACGACACAATTGTGCTGGAATGATAGAATATTTTTACATAAGGCGAGTGTCACGTATTTACGTTGTTTTATGTAAATTTGTAATTTTCCAGCAGTCGGCAGAAAGTTTTCAGCGAACGTGAGCTGTTTTATAACTACTACATAATACTATTGTGCGAAAATCTGCTTTCGTATGTTATTGTGTGTTGCTTAATTTACTTTAAAATCGCGATGTTACTGGAAAAGTTACTCGATAAAATATGTAAAATGCTGAGTAATTAATTATAGAAAAGGTGTGAGAATTAAGTTATGCACAAAACAGCAACCCTCTTCACAGGTTTACGGAAAAACTGAAAACTAACTTTGTGAATTTGAGCGATTGTATTTATTACAGCGCATAGGCTCTATGAAACAAAACGATTTACTCAGCTGAGAAGATAAGAAATAATTTTTCACAATTTTTAAATATCTATTTTAGGAGGAAAGTATTGTTGATCGTTTCCTGGTGTGATCTCGCAAACTTCTTAGCAGACAACAAACAGTTGATTGAAATTTCCATGGTCTAAGAGCGTTTGACATAACATCGCTGATTGGTAAATAAATGCCAATGTGGAAATTCTAATCTGGCGCCTATGTTTTGCACAAAAATGAGTCAAATGACGTTCTTAGTGATATTAAATATATTGAATTTTTCAACAAATGTGTGTGTGTGTGTATACGGCATTGAGAAAGTTTTGTGCCTCTCTGGCAGTATCACATTTC